AAAGTCTGCATCTGGAGAGCGGGAAACCGGATTAGCAAAAACGTGTGTGTTAAGGAACTAGCGGAATTACTTTTCAATCAAGGCAGAACTAACTCTGTATATAGACAATTTTTATACCAGTTATGAATTCTCAAAGTGTTTGCTTGATTAAAAAAACGCATGTTGTTGGAACACTAAGAGCAAATAAAGGAGATATCCAAAAGTCCTCCAAGCAAAATTAAAGAAAGAAGAAAGGATTTCCAGAGAAGAGGAGAATGACATTGTTGCGTTTAAATAAAAGGACACCAATGATGTGCGGATATTGAGCACGAAACACGCACCCACATTTGTTCCGTTGGCCCCTAGGAAAAAACAAGCATTGCAAATGGATAATACAATCAACCTGCTGCAACTACTTCAACCAGCCAAAACCTTCCACAAAGCATGCCATCAACCAGCACAAATCAATTTACAGTCATACCTTCAACCAGTTTATTATCTGCACAACCGTCTACCAGCACAAAGCCAAAGAGACAATCTTGAAGGGCTTTGGTAAAACCGCAAGCATTATTGGCATACAATGAAGGCAAAGCTGGCATCGATTTGTCAGATCAGATGGGGTACTTATGCCTACAACACTAAGAAAAGGTGTTAAGTGGTGTATATATATATTATATATATATATAATGTTGTATGATCTTAATTTATTAAGTGCGAAAACGAGTTACTACTACTTGCGCAATTGCTGCAAAGTAAGTTAATAATAATTTATTTCCTTAACAATATTGATTAATTGATTATATTATCTCCTAAGTTTAATTAAAGTAGAATTATTTTAAAGAGTGAATCCATACTGGTAAGTTATATTTTGAAAGATGTTAACTTGAAAGTAAAATGTTAATAATGTTTTAACGGGGACTGGAATTAAATCATCATGAAGAACAAAATTTCAATTGTAAAAGGAAAAATTAAATTAAAAGCACGTAATCATTGTCATTGATCGGAAATTAGTTGACTTTTCAAGGGGAACAAACCAACTCCCGTTCAATGAACAATAATTAATAAATAAATAATACGAAGGTGTTTCGTCTTTACTCGAGTAATAAGGTTAAAGCCAAACCGGCAATTCTAGTCAGGCCAAATATTTCCGCGAATAGAAGGGATTATGACCAATGCTGATACTCAAAGAACTTATTCTTATGAAGCATTTTAGAAGTCAATTCAATTTTGAGTGAAAAGCAATTTCTGTAGAGAAATCCTAAAAAAACTCGAGTAACCGTCCCCCACACCCCCGTGTTTATGCATTTGAGTTCTGTATTATTTGTAAAAATAAAACATTGGAAATTGTCATTATGAAATAGAATTCAAAGTATAAAGTTGAAATAAACATAGAAGATTACAAAATAAGATATAGATGCAAACTTTGTAAAAACAAATGAAAAATAATATAAAAATAATATAAAAATAAAAAATATAATAAGAACAGTGAATGTACATGAAGATATAAAGGCCAGAAAAAGTATTAAGTAACTTACATTCTTTCTAGTGGGGAGACGGCAAAGTGTTCTCTTCGCGTCTGATTCAGAAGGGTAAGGTGTCCGAAAAATTCTTAGCAGCAGTGGGGCTTTGAATAATATCAGTCGGTAAGACTTGGGTGAAGTAATTTATGGTAGTGGGTGGGACTCGGAATTCTTGAGTGATGTATTATGTGGAATTCTTATTTGAGTGAAAATGTCTGTTAAGATTTTTTTTTAAATACTAGTGAATGGAAATTAATTTATTTCTGGCTAATTGTCGTGTCGCAATGATTAAGAATTTAAGAAAGGAAAAAAGGAATTTTCACTGTCTAAGAGCTATTCGACAGACTAAAGATTAGGAAATAGGCCCATTTTTTTAGTAAAGCATAAGTCTGAAGACAATTAGCTTTTTACAATATATACAACTGAGTAATTACACTATATACAAATCCTTCAACTGATAGTCATCCAACTTATACCGCCTTCTCAGGTTTAGGAACAAATTATCATATCCCTATCAGTTAAATGATTTAGAGTGAGTATTTAACGCCTGCTCTTTTAAGGCAATGGTTAATAAATTGAATGGGTATTAGATTATTTTTGAGAATTTTAATAAGGAGCAAAATTTCGCGGTGTAAATCTATTGTATCTGTGCAGATAATTTTAATTCGTTGTATTTGATTTATTATTCTATTGTTAATTACTTTTTTTGGATATGTTGGAGTTCCAATTTATTAATTTGTTAGTATTGAAATTGAAGTTTCTTGTTTTGTCAAAAAGTAAAATTTTTTTGTAGTTGATTTGAAGATCTAGATAGTCTATGCTATTTTGTGAATTATTAGTTTTATTAAGTGTAAGAAAATTTGGATAAATCTCGGAGTGTTCAATTTGACCAAAATTATTAATTGTAATAAGGTCATCAATATATCTGTAGGTGTGCTTGTATAATTTAACTCTTGAGGTTGTAGATGTTTTTGGAAGCTAAATTCTTTGATAAATAAAAAAATCTAATACCCATTCAATTTATTAACCATTGCCTTAAAAGAGCAGGCGTTAAATACTCACTCTAAATCATTTAACTGATAGGGATATGATAATTTGTTCCTAAACCTGAGAAGGCGGTATAAGTTGGATGACTATCAGTTGAAGGATTTGTATATAGTGTAATTACTCAGTTGTATATATTGTAAAAAACTAATTGTCTTCAGACTTATGCTGTTACTAAAAAAATGGGCCTATTTCCTAATCTTTAGTCTGTCGAATAGCTCTTAGACAGTGAAAATTCCTTTTTTCCTTTCTTAAATCTTAATCATTGCGACACGACAATTAGCCAGAAATAAATTAATTTCCATTCACTAGTATTTTAAAAAAAAATCTTAACAGACATTTTCACTCAATAAGAATTCCACATAATACATCACTCAAGAATTCCGAGTCCCACCCACTACCATAAATTACTTCACCCAAGTCTTACCGACTGATATTATTCAAAGCCCCACTGCTGCTAAGAATTTTTCGGACACCTTACCCTTCTGAATCAGACGCGAAGAAGAAACACTTTGCCGTCTCCCCCACTAGAAAGAATGTAAGTTACTTAATACTTTTTCTGGCCTTTATATCTTCATGTACATTCACTGTTCTTATTATTATTTTTTTTTTATATTATTTTATTTATTTTTCATTTGTTTTTACAAAGTTTGCATCTATATCTTATTTTGTAATCTTCTATGTTTATTTCAACTTTATACTTTGAATTCTATTTCATAATGACAATTTCCAATGTTTTATTTTTACAAATAATACAGAACTCAAATGCATAAACACGGGGGTGTGGGGACGGTTACTCGAGTTTTTTCGGATTTCTCTACAGAAATTGCTTTTCACTCAAAATTGAATTGCTTCTAAAATGCTTCATAAGAATAAGTTCTTTGAGTATCAGCATTGGCTCATAATCCCTTCTATTCGCGGAAATATTTGGCCTGAGTAGAATTGCCGGTTTGGCTTAACCTTATTACTCGAGTAAAGACGAAACACCTTCGCATTTACGTATTTATTTATTAATTGTTGTTCATTGAACGGGAGTTGGTTTGTTCCCCTTGAAAAGTCAACTAATTTCCTATCAATGACAATGATTACGTGCTTTTAATTTAATTTTTCCTTTTAAAATTGAAATTTTGTTCTTCATGATGATTTAATTCCAGTCCCCGTTAAAACATTGTTAACATTTTACTTTCAAGTTACTTCAAAACGTCTTTCAAAATATAACTTACCAGTATGGATTCACTCTTTTAAAATAATTCTACTTTAATGAAACTTAGGAGATAATATAATCAATTAATCAATATTGTTAAGGAAATAAATTATATATATATATATATTGTACGATGTTTATGTATATATTCCACTTAACTATATACCCACTCTGTTACTTGGCTCGGTGGCTTTTTTTTGTTCTCATATGTTTGTAAATTATGCATTTTTCGTTTTTAAGTGACTGAATTATGTTGTTCTTATATTCTGGTTAAGGTTTTTATGACTTTAGTTAATCTGCATGCAATAGTTATAGAATTATCAATAATTTGAAAGTTGTTTAAGTGCTGCTAAGTCTAACGAAGCTGCCATTTGGTTACATTTTAAACGTTTGCTTCGTTTGAAAATGTTTTGAGTTTTTGTGTATTTTTGTCTTGTCGCGAAGTGAGAACTGAACTGATTTAATGAGAAATGTACCTCTAATGAAATTCGAGGAAATAAATTTAAATGAAGTGCGGCAAAAAATGTTTATGTCGTTAATGTCGTTACTATATTTCACTCATTGTTAATTTAGAAATGGTTTTAGAATGTTTATAATATCATTTATAAAGAACATGCATGATAGGCAACGCATTTCTAAATTGGGTGTTATGTAAAATACTTAATGTGTATGTTATTTGTTACTTTAAATTTTGTAAAATTATTTTAAAGAATCTCCTGGCTATCCGGATCATTAGTGTTCGCGCGCCAGATTCTGCTCTTGGGCCATAGGTTGGAGACTCCTGAGCTTAAACCCTGTGAATTTCTTCTCCCCCCGTGTTTTGTCATTTTGGAAAAACCTGAATTCTGCTGAGGCTTACATTAAATAAGTTTAAAAATTTATTCAATATTATTTGCTCATCAAAGACACACAGAGGAAAATATGCGATAATTTTATTTTCAGCATGCTATAGCAAACTTACGGATTTAATTTGATAAAGTTTAATTTGATAAAAAAAATATAAAAACAATACCTGTGCATGTGTGTGTGTGCTCTAGCAACCTACATTTATTGTTTGCGTGAAGCACTTCGTAACCGCAGTGATTTACCTCAGCTGTATGTCCATTGTAACCTCTTGTGTCAAAACGAAAGTAAGTAAACCGAAAGAAATTTTTCTTTCCTCAGTAATTCGCAAAACTGTCTCTCTGTTCGAAACGAAGATCCGGTTTTTCACAGTTCGCGCCGCCGCTGCTGACGAAGTTTTTCTCTTCAGTTTAACCAGCTAAGGCATCAGCATCGAACGCTCCGCTCAAATTTCTCCAACTGCGCCGATGGAACGAATTTCAGTGAATGGAACTCTGACGTGGACTGCCGCCTGTTGATTATTGCAGTTTATAGTATATTTATTGCCCGTGTGCAGCTGAACGGATAGACGGACAGTTTAATGGCTAGTATGCCCTCCAGGAGAAGACGCGACCTGAAAAGTCTGACCCTGACATTGACATACGTACTGGTCTTATTCTGCCATGTACAAAGTCAAGATGTTGGGAGTTTCTTAGCAGGTACGTAGAATGTATTTACAGTTTGCTTCACTTTCAAAGTAAATTAATCAAGGTTTGATTTTAATGGCCCAGATTTCCTTTTTCAAGGAGGCCTCTAAAACTTCCTATATATAGGAAATACAGCATCGAAAGCTGTATTTCCTATATATTCGAAAGTATTTTAGGTATGTAAAAATTTTTATGTTTTTTTTAATTCCAGATATTAAAAAAGCAAAATTAAAAACAAGGAATTAAATGTTAAACATTTTTTTAGATTTTTTTACGCTTTTCTTAAAAAAATCAGACAGTTTAGCTTTATCTCACATTCTTTTAGGCTAGCGGTATTATTTAGAAAAACCTTAATAAAAAATAGTGAGCATTTTTACATAAACTAACATAATGTAAAATAAAATAAAATTGCTACAGAGGACACTGGAAGTTGAATTCTCTTTCGCAAGTGAAATTTTTCGATTTGAATATTCAACTTAAGGAAGCATTTTATATTTGAATTAATTATTATGTTATTACTGAGAAAAAATAGGATAAAGAATTGCTTTTCTTCATTTAAAATATGGATTATTAAGTTATAATTTATAATGGGAGGGATGATACTTCCGAGATTAATTTCTCAGTTGGTCGCGTTATTAAATACCCAAAATGATCCATCGGAAGACACGATTTTTTTTCGCATTTGAAAGAAGCTGAATTTTTTTAAGTTCTATGTATTATCTATGTGCTTCATTATAAAATGATATACAATTTAATAGTATTAATTTAATCATACTTCCGTAACTTAATCAAGATGCAAGGTTTATTTGAATTAACACATTTTTGCTCATGTTAAAACCTATTCTGTACTGCTGCTACCTCGTCTCCTTCTATCAGATTATATAAAATGAGAGGAGTTTTAATAGGGTATGAATCTAAATTAACAGCCATCATCATAAAACAACTCCTGTGTGTTATACACGACGCAAGTATATAACCACTGATATGTGATTTTCTTATTTGGCTATTACGTTGCAGATAATTAGTTATGAACGTTTAACCGGCTAGGTGCTAAGATGCAGGTTAATTTATGCAAGTACATAATACTTGTTGTCTGTTATACCCATGAGCAGGAGAAATAAACGTGTTAAGTTTTTTATATTTTAAGCAGAGATATTAGTAAGTTTTAGTTGTTTGATTTTTTATGTCTCTGTTATGTTTATTTTAGCCTGTAAAATTGGTCTTTCAGCTTAAAGGTTCTAATCCAAAACTTAAAGAAGTTTATAATAAAATTAATAATAATATTTTAGGTTCTACCACCAGGTCCCTTTTCACAAAAAACAGGATTCTCCTGTAAGACTTATTTTATAAAACGCATACTAAATTGAAACCATGAAAACAAAAACAAATCAAAAATAAAAAAAAAAAAACCTGAAATGTATAATTTTGTTAAGTAATAATAATACAATTTGTGTTGCATCATTTTGAATTTAAAACGTTGAATTATAAGATTATTTCCTGAAATATAGTATATGAAATATTTTTTAGCGGTGGCAAGTATAACATTAAAAAAATTGTAGGGGCATAATTCCATAACAAGTCCCCCCCTCGGGTCTGTGGTTTAATAGATTGGGCTCTGAGAGGAATATTCGCTAAATATCATATTGGCCCAAATATGAATTCGCCTGTCATAGGAGATCACACTGCATTTTTTAAGGCATTTAGCAAGAAAAATAAAGATCTTGAATGCAAGAAAATCTCTTGTGTATATAAACTTAATGCGTCGAAGGCATTTTTTCAGAAAAGCTAATAACCTAATTAAATAGTTTTGAATACTATAAAGTAAAGCTAAGTTTATTTTCTGTTGAGGCATAAGACATAAATTATTTTAATATATACATTTATTAAATATTTAGCTGCATATTTAAGACTGAAGGATATTTAAAGGAGGAGAGAAATATCGTCACATACGAAAGAATATGATAAGTAAATTTAATTTATAATATTCTCTCCCCGATTTAAAAAATAATATTTTTTTCTATTCTTTATAGAATCCATATTTTTGTAAATATCACCTATATCTGTTATGTGTTGTCAACTAAATGTAATAATACTAAATGTTTCAATTAAATAATCTACTTGTAGGCTGTTTTATTTTGCTTGAATTTTGTTACCGTAAATTTTCTCTTGCAATTAGTGCTTATGTTCCTGCAATATTGCAAAAATGGCTTTAAAACTTAATAAATAAAAAATAATTAAAAAAAAAAACTTTAAATTTTTAATGCGAAAAATTTCGCATTTAAAAATTTAAAGGTTTTTTTTCGCATTTAAAAATTAAAGGAAAACCTTTAAATAATCTAGTTTTAGCTTTTATTGTTAATTATAAATTTTAATTCCTAATATTATATTTTACGTGTAACAGCACTTTCGTTATTTATAATAAAACATGTTAAATTTTTTGCTGAACGTGTCGCATTAAATTTCTCAAAATCAACACAGTTGCATTCATTGGGGATAACATTTATAAGGTTATTTTCTCCCTCCTTTTCGCAAGCCTCCGTGGTGTAACTGGAAGCACGCTCGACGCGTATTCGGGAGGTCTAGAGTTTGAATCCCGGCGAGAATATTGCGGATTTCTTCAGTTTCGAATCATAAAAAATATTCTAAAGTATTTTACAGATTAGCAACTGTAAATATAATCTGTTAGCCGCAGTATACGCATATGGCTATCTAATGACTAAATAATACCAAACAGATGTAACGTAAGGTCTCTAGTTTGGAGTGGATTATGTAGGTTACGGAAACCACTCGAAGACTGTCTGTGTAAAGGAAAAGATACCTTCATGCAGGACTCTCTCAGAAAGAGTAGCTCGTATTCAAGTTCCTCATGGAGCAAAATTACAAAAACTTACATCAGGCAGCCCGTAATGCCTGTATTTGAAACCCATATTAAAAGTATTCAGCGGTTTTACGGTTCGGGCGCTGGTGAGTCAAAGAGCTGTGCACCACATTTAATTGCAAATGCACCTTTTTCAGGGTTAAACTGTTTTGAACAGTTTCTGGAATTTTATTTGTAAAAAGTATAATACTTATTTTTTTTATTTTTGATTGTTAATTAAAATAAAAAGAAATTACTTTGTGTGTCAAATTTGTGCATTTAAACTAGTAGCTGGGATGAAAAGTTATCAAACGAAAGATAATGCTTGCGGAAGATGCGAATTCTACATTAATGTAAGACTATTCAGATAAATATTACGTACACAATATTAAAAGGTTCTGAGTCTAGTTTGGAGCCCACATTGTGAAGGCTCAATGTCAAAGTTGTTCTGGAGCCCAAGTGTGGGAAATGAAGTTTTCCACATTACAGGCTTTCCTGATGAAAGAATCCAGGTGGCAATATTAGAAGTTCGAAAAATATGAGTAGAATGGTCTTGTTGCTGAGTGTCGCTGAATACTGGTGTTTCCTCCCGAACTATGATCTCTGTGAGCGGCCTGGCCGCACTAGATTTAGTGTATTTTCTTAAGTATAATAAAAATGCAATCAGTTTCTTTTCGAAAGTTTTCCATGAAGGCATCCTCTCCTTTGTGGTAGGTAGCCTTCCGTGCTTTGCTTTAATTAATGAACCATATTCCTGTCAATGAGAAATGGAAAGATGGACTTGTTGAACTCTGTAGAATATTATAAATTTCTTTTCTTTCTTTATTTTATTTTATTTATTTATTTTTGTGCTGTAAAATACTGCTGTTCAAGCTTATATTTCAATTCAGGACATGATTTTAAAAATACTAATGCATTTACATATGAATAATTCAATTAATGATGTTAAACTGATGACTGGTTAATTTTCATTTCCAAACTACTTAATATAGCAAACTCAATATAGCATAATTAGTTGCAGATTGAACTCTATCATTAAACAATAAAAATCTGTTGAAGTAAATTAATATGATACACTGTAATCGTGAGTAACAGCTATATTCCTAATCTGAAGTTCAAGCTTGTGCTTGCTTTCTTATTTTAATATTGATTGATATGTTTTTTTTTTTTTTTTTTTTTTTTTTTTTTTTTTTTTTTTTTTTTTCAATATTACGCCGACTTGCTTGAAATCATTTATAAATAATGTGACTTGTAAATAAAACAGTGATTTTTCAAATATTCATAACTTGAATAAGGCAATATCCTGGCTAGGAGTGGTTCGATGCTCAAAAATTAGATAATTCACATTCAAATAGCAACAAGTGCAATATGTATTTATATTTTGCCAATTTCCAATTAGTGGTCAAGACGTATAAGAACGAATTTTGAATTTCTCTTGTTAAGTATGTATGTTATAATTTTTGTTTACACTATGTGCAAGAAAAAGTATATTTTTTGTGCATTTAATATTTTGATTCCTTTACTGAGAATATATTCGCTGTCACCGTTACTTTTATTTATTTAATCCTAGTCTAGTCCCGCCTTATTATGAACGCGCTCTACTGTTATTAACCTAAATGGCTATTAGTCTCAAAACAGCATTTTGTGTCATTTTTATTTCTGCGTTGATTCACTTTTCAAACTGTTGCCACCAAATAGTATCACCATATATTATAACTAATAACTAAATAATGAAGAATCTGCATGAATGTTTCTCGTATTATAAAAAAAAAAAGGACCTAAAGCCATCCAATATTGAGTAACGTAGTCCTCCAACCGAACATAGGCGCTTGGAAGCCCGAATTTTGAGTTTCGAATTTGTTTTATTATCTAGTTCAAATTTTGTAAAACTTTGACGAATTTTTTATTAACAAACTCAACAATTTCAAAGCGAGCAATGGCAACATTGTGCGAAAAAAAAAAGCATTTTTTTATCTCTAGCAATATTTCAATCTTACGTCTTTTAAAAAAATATTATATTTTCTCCCTCCTTCGTTGGTGTAATTGAAAGCACATTCGGTTAGTCTTCGGAAGGTCCGGAGTTCAAGTCCCGGTGAGGGGACGGCATATTCACGTCTCCTGCTCCAAGATGAAAGGCCTAATAGGCTATGCAATT